TCCCCCCTCCCTCCCATAAAAGGACTTACTCAACGTAATCATTTTTCAAAACAATGTTCAAACGGGGAACTTTCACAGTTCAACTACACTGCCAAATACCATACTGCTCAGAGGATCTAAAAACCCACTGATATGTAAGTAAAGAAAAATAATTTGCTCTTTTCATTGAATAACAATACAAGTTTCCAGGAAGTTAATTTCTCCTAGTAATATACTGAATTTTCTGATGTAGGAAGGATACGTTCTTTTTGGGTGGAAAATACAAATGTGAATTGAAAGAATTCTCTTTTATAGCAAGACTTCACAAAAACAAGCTATAGTACCAGGGGATCTGTTTGTTTTGATTTCAAGAGCCATTTCATCTTTTGGCTCTAATAAACAGGTTGAAGTAAAAAAAGAAAAATTGTATAATGTTGCTTGCTGTAAAACAAAAAGTAATGTTCACTACTCTATTAGATGGAGCAGTTTTTGTAAAAGGATTTAGTCTGAACATTAGCAATACAGAAGTAAATGGTATATAAGTCTTCTTTTCAGCAATTATTTAAATATTCCAATATGCAAGTCATTGTCTAAAGCCAGTAGAGATATAACAGTATGACAAGTCTAGACAGCACAACTGTACAGTGGCAGCAAATGAGTAGCTTAGTATATCACATACATTTGTAAGCTATGAAATGATCTTCAGCTATTCTCATATTAAGTGTATTCATCCTTAAAAACAATGCAAAATGCCAAACTAGCAAAGTACATGAACATTTCTTTTTCTCCTTCTGACATGCATTTTCACTCTAAAGCTTTTCTTTTTGTAAAGTTATTTCTTCCTCTTGGCCCTCTAAATCTTTTTAGGTGGAATCTTCTAATGAAACATTAAAAGCTATTTGATCTTTCAAAAATTCTATTTAAATAGGCTGATAACTTTTAATACTTCAGTGGCAAAAAAGAAATACAGCTGTCCAGATTAAACTATTCATATTTTTCATTTAACTTAAAAAAAAAATAAAGATGACCTGAAAATCCTTGTGTACATGAATAGCAAAAGATTTAAGAAAGAAGGTGAGCTTTGGCCAACAGAAATACTAGTCTTTCACTTCTTATTCCTTGTCCCTGGGTCAGCTCCCTTTCAACTGAGAGATTAAGAACAATTATCTGAGAAACTTTAAACAGCCAAAATCTATTTCCTTTCTGATTGCAAACTGGCAGTTACATTTAGGGTTACGGTTAGTTAGTTTTTAACCACGCTGCACAAGGTCACATTACAGGAGTCAGGCAAATAGCCTGATTAAAAGGAGTGTGCTTCCAGAGTTAGAGCATAAATTGTCATATGAATTTTTGCTTATTTTTATGAGTGTTATTTTAGATGATTCAGATTTTTTTCCCGCAGCTACAATTTTTGGTTCTGTATTTGTTTTACAAGCAGTAAATAAGTTACTGGGTTTTTGAGCACCAGCATGGCTCTATGCCTTAAATCATACCTAGTCACTGTGATTGGTGTACTAGACTTCTCAAGGCACAAAACGCATCCTAAAAGAGATTCGCTGATGGATATCATCTCTCCTATTCACCCAGATCACTTTCTTTCCCTTTCACAATGACGCACCTACCCTAGGAAAACTTGAGCAATCGTTTCCATACACAAGTAATATTGCAAAGGTGTTTAACATATTTTAAAGTTGGTTGTCTTTCAAGCAGCTATGATTGAAAACTAAGCAACACATTACTATCCAACCAGACACTTCTCTATGAACAAAGACCCCCAAACCAGCAGACCTTATAATATACAAATGATACATTTCTAGTGTATTTGATACCCTATGTCCAGACATTTCCTGAAAGAAGCTACAGGATTTCTAAATGAGATACCATTCATGGTGTGCCCTGTCCTTATGGCCCCTGCTCCCCACCAACTTTGGAACACTAATGAAGACTTTCTTGAGAGAGAATTCAAGGACTTTTTTGTGCTACCTTAGTGAATTTATGAACTAATGATTTGTGAGTTCCCACTGGAAACTAACATTTAAATTTGTTTTCTTGCTGGAGTGCTTTTTGCCTATTACATATTTACTCTCATTCATCACTGTGGGGTTGCAAGTGAATGCTTGCCAGACAAATCTTAGGTATCTTAGATACCCAAAAACTAGACAACATTGGCATTGTATTTCTTAATAAAAAAGTAGAAAGGCAGATTCTGTATTATGCCTACGTTATCCTTTGACAACATATTACACAACCAATTACAGCTTTGAGAAATATTACACAACCAATAACTAGGCACACAGCGCTCTTATTATTTACTACATTACTTTAACTTACTAATCAAGCCATACTTAAGTTCCTCACCTCCTGCACATTTTTATGTGAATTTAATTACAATCTCTACTACGTTAGAGTGTAAAATACTGCTATCATACAACTGTTAAAAGGTACACATTTAAGGAGAAAATAATAAAAAAAATAATCAGGAGATTCATAATATAGAGTTCTATGGAAATATCAATTCATCTGTTCTGCACATCCCAATTATTATTATGCTTTTAATATCATACATGAAATATTTAAATCAGTAATTGAAGATTCTACAGTACATATTTCCAAGAAAGCCAAATTCCATGCCATGACTGCCCTAATTTTTGTGTTTTTAAAATTATTTTCATTCTGCAACATTCGTATTTTCTTAATATAGTGTTTTTCATTTATTTTCTAGGTTAATTTTAAGGAAAACTAGTAAAAAATAATCTACATAAATGTGCAGTCCTTAAATAAACAAGCACATGTCTTATAATTACGGTGCTTATGCTCTTTGTGTGTGCCCTTCATCTGCACAATTAATAAATATATACTTCCAAAAAGAACATGTTTTAGCTGCCCTGATGCATTGTTTCTAACATCTGAATTGGTGCGTCTATTAAAATAACTGACTGAACGGAGGGTGGATGGGGACTATCCTTGAAACTCTCTACAAAACACAATATGGATCACTGTGAGCCCGCTTCCCGTTCCCAGGCAAATCAGTCATCAGTCAAAGATTTCAAATTTCATGGGATCTACACATTCTATTTTAGGGCACAAAGGTCAATAACCTTTAATTAATATTTAATTTAATATAATGCATTAAAAATAGTCTATAGGTTTGCAGCAATAGGAAGAAGCATGTTCTAAGATAAGCCTGCCACACCCAATCTGTTTTGAAGCCACGTGCACTTTGAGCTGCTGACACACATCCATCTTGCTCCCAATGAATTCAACTTCTACGTTAACAAAATATTCAACTATATTCACTTTGAAGACAAACTTTTAGAAGGTTCATAACTTCGTAATATATTGTTGTCAAAGGCAAAAAGCTCATATTCTTCAGTCAGGTCTAATTATATGGTTACCTAGACATTCAGACAGCAAAAATATCTGATGAAAGAAAAAGTGATTAAAAGTTAAAGGAAAAATTAAAACTAAACAGATGCCATTGCTATATAATTACTATGCTCCTATCATCCGCTGTCTCTTATGTTCAAATTGTGCAAGATCCACAACTTCCCAAAATAATATATGGGCTGCCTAGGCAGTTTCTTTAGGGTATAGATAGATTACTACAGGCTCATTGCATAATAGTTACACACTGCAACTGCTGGTGAGAACACCAGTTATCCTCCCCTTTCAACTCAGGTAAAATGTTACATCTGTCCATGACTTGTCTGGTTAGTGGAAAGAATAGAAAAAATCCATTATACTAGTAAAGGTTAAAATGAACCCAAATCTGAAGCTACAACTCAAAATGTTTCTCTTGCAGCTGAGACCATCATTGTAAGAAAGTAAAATAATTACAATACTTAGGGCCCCTCCACACCTGCAGATATAGGTACAATGGGATTCTAATGTGTGATCCATGTAATCACACATTAGATCCTATCATACCTTATTGCCAGTGCAGGGGGAAGCATGATCTGGGACTCCAGTAGTGCATGGAGCCCCCTGCAACTGGGAGACTGCAATTGTGCTTCATGACTGCTTGGATCCAGAGTCCTGCTGTTGCTGACAGCAGGTCCCAGTGCTACAGGGTGCTACCGGGACCCAGCATTCATAGCTGTGGGACTTTGGGTCCCAGCAGCCGTGGGGTGCTGCCAGGACCCAGAGTTCACAACTGCTGGGTGCTGCCAGAGCTGAGAGTCTCCTCAGTTGCAGGACTCCCAGCTCTGGCTGGCCATGGCCCTGCAGCTGGCTGGCTAGCCCTGCAGCTGGAAGCCCAGTCAGCTGATGGGGCTCCTAGCCATAGAAACAGACCCTGCTATACATACAAATTAAAGGTGGATAGCAACCAGCTATGAAGTTAGTACACATTTTTAAGGTCTAACTTTATAGTCAGTTGGGCCTTTTTTTGGCATGACAGGTACTTTGCGTGTGTAGCTGGTCTCAGTTAATTGTACAATTAACCAGTTAATTGACTAAATACTTCTAATGTGGAGAGGGGGCCTTACTTCTCCAGATACTTTCTCTAAGTCCTGTTCACTCTGATAGCTTAGCTATGATAAGCATGAGCATGGACCACTGAGGCTGCTATTTTGTACCTAAATACTGAAAATGCACTGCACTATGTCACTGATTTGAGTAATCTGTAAACATTTTTTAATTATGCACTAAAACCTAAGCATATATACATTTTTGTTACACATAATATAAGGATCTATTCATTCATTGAAGAAATAAATGTTTAAAAGGTGTTTTTCTTTCTGCAAATTTTACCTGGTTAAAGATTAAACTAGACAAGTTTTGGTAAATTCCCTTTTATGAAAGTTAGTGATACAGAACTTTTAGGTGGTTTTTGTTTCTAACTTGCTCCTTTGGAAAATATGATTTTTAAATAAATGTAATACATGGGTGCTTTCACTTCCCATAAGATGGTGGGTAACAAATGAACACGAGGGCACCTCAAAATGTCAAGCATATGGGAAATACCTCCCCCCTCCCTCCCATAAAAGGACTTACTCAACGTAATCATTTTTCAAAACAATGTTCAAACGGGGAACTTTCACAGTTCAACTACACTGCCAAATACCATACTGCTCAGAGGATCTAAAAACCCACTGATATGTAAGTAAAGAAAAATAATTTGCTCTTTTCATTGAATAACAATACAAGTTTCCAGGAAGTTAATTTCTCCTAGTAATATACTGAATTTTCTGATGTAGGAAGGATACGTTCTTTTTGGGTGGAAAATACAAATGTGAATTGAAAGAATTCTCTTTTATAGCAAGACTTCACAAAAACAAGCTATAGTACCAGGGGATCTGTTTGTTTTGATTTCAAGAGCCATTTCATCTTTTGGCTCTAATAAACAGGTTGAAGTAAAAAAAGAAAAATTGTATAATGTTGCTTGCTGTAAAACAAAAAGTAATGTTCACTACTCTATTAGATGGAGCAGTTTTTGTAAAAGGATTTAGTCTGAACATTAGCAATACAGAAGTAAATGGTATATAAGTCTTCTTTTCAGCAATTATTTAAATATTCCAATATGCAAGTCATTGTCTAAAGCCAGTAGAGATATAACAGTATGACAAGTCTAGACAGCACAACTGTACAGTGGCAGCAAATGAGTAGCTTAGTATATCACATACATTTGTAAGCTATGAAATGATCTTCAGCTATTCTCATATTAAGTGTATTCATCCTTAAAAACAATGCAAAATGCCAAACTAGCAAAGTACATGAACATTTCTTTTTCTCCTTCTGACATGCATTTTCACTCTAAAGCTTTTCTTTTTGTAAAGTTATTTCTTCCTCTTGGCCCTCTAAATCTTTTTAGGTGGAATCTTCTAATGAAACATTAAAAGCTATTTGATCTTTCAAAAATTCTATTTAAATAGGCTGATAACTTTTAATACTTCAGTGGCAAAAAAGAAATACAGCTGTCCAGATTAAACTATTCATATTTTTCATTTAACTTAAAAAAAAAATAAAGATGACCTGAAAATCCTTGTGTACATGAATAGCAAAAGATTTAAGAAAGAAGGTGAGCTTTGGCCAACAGAAATACTAGTCTTTCACTTCTTATTCCTTGTCCCTGGGTCAGCTCCCTTTCAACTGAGAGATTAAGAACAATTATCTGAGAAACTTTAAACAGCCAAAATCTATTTCCTTTCTGATTGCAAACTGGCAGTTACATTTAGGGTTACGGTTAGTTAGTTTTTAACCACGCTGCACAAGGTCACATTACAGGAGTCAGGCAAATAGCCTGATTAAAAGGAGTGTGCTTCCAGAGTTAGAGCATAAATTGTCATATGAATTTTTGCTTATTTTTATGAGTGTTATTTTAGATGATTCAGATTTTTTTCCCGCAGCTACAATTTTTGGTTCTGTATTTGTTTTACAAGCAGTAAATAAGTTACTGGGTTTTTGAGCACCAGCATGGCTCTATGCCTTAAATCATACCTAGTCACTGTGATTGGTGTACTAGACTTCTCAAGGCACAAAACGCATCCTAAAAGAGATTCGCTGATGGATATCATCTCTCCTATTCACCCAGATCACTTTCTTTCCCTTTCACAATGACGCACCTACCCTAGGAAAACTTGAGCAATCGTTTCCATACACAAGTAATATTGCAAAGGTGTTTAACATATTTTAAAGTTGGTTGTCTTTCAAGCAGCTATGATTGAAAACTAAGCAACACATTACTATCCAACCAGACACTTCTCTATGAACAAAGACCCCCAAACCAGCAGACCTTATAATATACAAATGATACATTTCTAGTGTATTTGATACCCTATGTCCAGACATTTCCTGAAAGAAGCTACAGGATTTCTAAATGAGATACCATTCATGGTGTGCCCTGTCCTTATGGCCCCTGCTCCCCACCAACTTTGGAACACTAATGAAGACTTTCTTGAGAGAGAATTCAAGGACTTTTTTGTGCTACCTTAGTGAATTTATGAACTAATGATTTGTGAGTTCCCACTGGAAACTAACATTTAAATTTGTTTTCTTGCTGGAGTGCTTTTTGCCTATTACATATTTACTCTCATTCATCACTGTGGGGTTGCAAGTGAATGCTTGCCAGACAAATCTTAGGTATCTTAGATACCCAAAAACTAGACAACATTGGCATTGTATTTCTTAATAAAAAAGTAGAAAGGCAGATTCTGTATTATGCCTACGTTATCCTTTGACAACATATTACACAACCAATTACAGCTTTGAGAAATATTACACAACCAATAACTAGGCACACAGCGCTCTTATTATTTACTACATTACTTTAACTTACTAATCAAGCCATACTTAAGTTCCTCACCTCCTGCACATTTTTATGTGAATTTAATTACAATCTCTACTACGTTAGAGTGTAAAATACTGCTATCATACAACTGTTAAAAGGTACACATTTAAGGAGAAAATAATAAAAAAAATAATCAGGAGATTCATAATATAGAGTTCTATGGAAATATCAATTCATCTGTTCTGCACATCCCAATTATTATTATGCTTTTAATATCATACATGAAATATTTAAATCAGTAATTGAAGATTCTACAGTACATATTTCCAAGAAAGCCAAATTCCATGCCATGACTGCCCTAATTTTTGTGTTTTTAAAATTATTTTCATTCTGCAACATTCGTATTTTCTTAATATAGTGTTTTTCATTTATTTTCTAGGTTAATTTTAAGGAAAACTAGTAAAAAATAATCTACATAAATGTGCAGTCCTTAAATAAACAAGCACATGTCTTATAATTACGGTGCTTATGCTCTTTGTGTGTGCCCTTCATCTGCACAATTAATAAATATATACTTCCAAAAAGAACATGTTTTAGCTGCCCTGATGCATTGTTTCTAACATCTGAATTGGTGCGTCTATTAAAATAACTGACTGAACGGAGGGTGGATGGGGACTATCCTTGAAACTCTCTACAAAACACAATATGGATCACTGTGAGCCCGCTTCCCGTTCCCAGGCAAATCAGTCATCAGTCAAAGATTTCAAATTTCATGGGATCTACACATTCTATTTTAGGGCACAAAGGTCAATAACCTTTAATTAATATTTAATTTAATATAATGCATTAAAAATAGTCTATAGGTTTGCAGCAATAGGAAGAAGCATGTTCTAAGATAAGCCTGCCACACCCAATCTGTTTTGAAGCCACGTGCACTTTGAGCTGCTGACACACATCCATCTTGCTCCCAATGAATTCAACTTCTACGTTAACAAAATATTCAACTATATTCACTTTGAAGACAAACTTTTAGAAGGTTCATAACTTCGTAATATATTGTTGTCAAAGGCAAAAAGCTCATATTCTTCAGTCAGGTCTAATTATATGGTTACCTAGACATTCAGACAGCAAAAATATCTGATGAAAGAAAAAGTGATTAAAAGTTAAAGGAAAAATTAAAACTAAACAGATGCCATTGCTATATAATTACTATGCTCCTATCATCCGCTGTCTCTTATGTTCAAATTGTGCAAGATCCACAACTTCCCAAAATAATATATGGGCTGCCTAGGCAGTTTCTTTAGGGTATAGATAGATTACTACAGGCTCATTGCATAATAGTTACACACTGCAACTGCTGGTGAGAACACCAGTTATCCTCCCCTTTCAACTCAGGTAAAATGTTACATCTGTCCATGACTTGTCTGGTTAGTGGAAAGAATAGAAAAAATCCATTATACTAGTAAAGGTTAAAATGAACCCAAATCTGAAGCTACAACTCAAAATGTTTCTCTTGCAGCTGAGACCATCATTGTAAGAAAGTGACATATTATAACAATACTGAAGTAACCTGGAGTGCCTAATCAAGCTCTTTAATGAAAAAGGTCCCTTAACAATTCTCAAATTGCTAATCAACTGAGGAATACCAGCAGAAAATTTTGTGCCCAACCCTTTTCCTTTTCCTCACACGTCATCTTTTCCTGATCCTCTTTTTCCTGTCACTCTTTTAAAACTGTTTATGTTCTTCAACTAAAAATGGAATCTATTGTTCATTGCTTTTCTGCTAAAGAAATGCCACATGTACAGTATTACAATGTATAAACAAAATTTCTATACAAAACAAGTAACATTGGTCTTCCTCCTTCCAGAGTACATACATTTAAAAATACATAGATGTATATTTTCATCTGATAATCTTTCTAGAATATGAGTTTATATGTAGCTGTAGCTCAGAATATATACCATTATCTGGAGTCATCCATTCTATGACAATAGTAAAGGAGGGAATAAAATGCAAACTCAGTTATCTAGATTAGTAGGGGAGATAAATCTTTGCATCTCTTATCTCTTCTACACAAGCCAGATATACTCAAACTAAGACTCAGCTATTACATACACTAATTAATCTTTTATATATTAATTGTTCCATTGCATTCAATGGGATACATCCTTTGCTCCTGGCCCACACTGCCCCCTGCTGCCCCCCCTCCCCTGGGGAGAGTGTCATTGGCTGGATTCTGCTGTTTCAGCTAAGCACGGAGCAGAACACATCCTGTCCACAATTCCTACATCGTGCAGTGGGAGACATAGGCTGACCCTGAACAGTCTGGGTCAGCCAATCCAGGGCTGCCCTGTGCACTGTTGCCATCTGTCTCCAGGCAGAGTGGGGGACCCTGCAGAACATACTGAGATGCACAAATAGCAGCTCCCTGGTAGTGCAGTGTCAGCGCTGCAAGCTCCCTGCTCTTCGAGGGCTCATCATTTGAATGTCTGTTCAGGTATCTCTGGGTAAGATTTTCTACCAGGAAAACAATCCTGGGAGCATTCTCCCAAATCATTTGAACATGTGTTACATGACAGATTATGCTAATCCAGCTAGAATTCAGTGATTAAATTATTATTATTATTATTATTATTATGATAGTGTATGCACTAGAACTGGGGTAGGCAATTATTTTGGCTAGAGGACCACTCAGGAAGTTTTGGTGAGCTGTTGTGGGCTGGGTCAAGTCTGCGCTGTCAGCATCCCGTGGTCCTGGCCTGAGCCCCACACACCTGTCCTGCTACAAGACACAGCTCCCCACCTTCACACAGCCCCATACCATTTGCCCTGCTGAGTATGCCCTGTCCACAAGCATCCCAGGCCAGTCTCCACTGAGACCCCACCTGCTGTGTCTGTACCCCTGGCAGTGGGTGCAGGGCACATGGGCCAGGATGCCCAGGCAGAGGGACTAAGTCCAGCCACAGCAGTGACACTGGCAGCAGCAGTGAAGAAGTCACCACTGCCAGGAAGAGGAGTCCAGCCACCATGCCTCCCAGCCCCTCTGTGCACCCAGGGGTAGTGGGACCACCACATCCGAGGCTGCCCCCAAGCCTGGGCCATTCAGGGCCAAGGGACCCATCATGGGCCAGATAAAATCCTTTGGAAGGCTGGATCTGGCCTGTGAGCCATATTTGCCCACCTCTGCACTAGAGGTTAATTAAATTGTGTCTAACTTTGAATAAATCTAAAATTGAGGGAGAAGATAAGCATCTGAAATCTTCTGTGTGTTGATGGAAGGTGACTGATATAAATTTAAAAACAACTAATTCGAAATGTTTTAGTAGCTTGTTCCCTTTTTCTTCCTATATCATTTTAATCCATTTTCCAAAAGCTAAAAACGTGCTTCAATGTTGTATAGCAAACATGCCAAAAGGGGATCGATAATACCAAACAATTTATTTACCATTATATTAAAAAAATAGCAGATGCCAGAAAAACCCTAGATGGTAATGTGGGCTTGATATCAAGTTAGCAGCCCGTGTTTAACCCCTTAACCTCTCCTATACCTTAACAAGAAAATAACTTTAATTAAAACCAAAGTTGTTTGAATTAATTCCTATTTCAACACAAGTTAAGATGACACATTTCTTCTGCCATGCAGACATGACCAAATAGCTTCTATAGTTCATCTCTGCTGGCAAAGAAGCCTTTGCTTGTGGAAAAAGGAACAAACTACAGCAAGTCAACAGGGAACAGAGCTTTATATTCCAGCTGCTCTGCAGTAGCTACCTGCTCTTAACCCATGGTGAGTGAAAGCTAAATCAGGGCACTGGAGCCCTGAGCGGAATTAATCTACCAAGATTTAGATTCCACTTAGTGTAGGCTAACAGTAGGAACACGGACAGTTACCACAGAGTAGCTGATGATTTGTATAACCCTGCCCACTTCAGACTAGCTATTCTTTGTCTGAACTCAAAGATTCCAAACTAGCTGAAACATTCTCAGTTTCAAGCACAGGCAGATCCTCATTGTGATAGTCATGATTCTGAATAGCCTGAAGATTTTTGCAAGAGCTAGCAAGACAATTCTGGGGGGTATCAAACATATACATGAGACTACATGCATGCACAAATCATAGAAATGTAGGGTTGGAAGGGACCTCAGGAGGTCACCTAGTCCAACCCCCTGCTCAAAGCAGGCCCAGCCCCAACTAAATCATCCCAGCTAAGGCTTTGTCTAGCCTGGTCTTAAAAACTTACAAGGATGGAGACTCCACAACTGCTTTGGGTAACCTGTTTCAGTGCTTTACTACCCTCCTAGTGAGGAAGTATTTCCTAGTATCTAACCTAAACTTCCCTTGCTGCAACTTGGAACCATTGCTCCATGTTCTGTCATCTGCCGTCACCGAGAACAGCTCCATCCTTTCTGTAACCACTATTCAGGTAGCTGAAGGTGGCTATTACGTCCCCTTTCAGTCTCCTCTTTTCCAGACTAAATAAACCCAGTTTCCTCAGCCTCTCCTAAATCAATGTACAATATGAAGTTTCACAGGCCACTTAAGCCAACATTTTTGTACTGGCAATAACCTCAAAAGTGCTAACTCACTTAGCTCAATTTTTACACTGTAAAAACAGTGTAAAAATTGCTTTAAAAAAAGAAAAGTTGAGCTGAGCTAAGATATACTGCACTATGAAATCTCACTACATATTAACTAAGTAGAAACATAATGCAAGTAGACAAATTTTGAAGGGCAGCATTACCAAGAAAAGAGAGCAATTATTTTTTGTGGTTGACTAGGAAGACAGGAAGAAGTAAACAACATTAAGAATAATCTGACTATCAGGAATGTTCTCGTGGAACAGGTATGAGAGAGCAATGGTGGAGGCCTCACCACTTGGAATATTAGCAGTTAGAATAAACAAGGCACTACCAAATGCACCACTGAGCATGCTCTACCTTTGCAAGGATAGAGAGTAGATGATGTCATAGATCTTTTCCATTTTGTGGGTCTTGTTAAATTACTTTGATATTTACAAGCCCCCAAACAACAGATTTTGCAGATTCTGTAGGTCTCAAGGGCTGCCATGTCAGTTGGCTCTTTTAACTAATTTTTAATACATATATTCAAATCTATGTAAATATACTGTGTTGCCATTCAGTCAAAACAAATATTTTTTACATATATTACAGGTGCATTCCAAGAGCCACTGAAAAATGGATAACATGTAAGTATGCCTTGTAAATCAACTGTACTTGAACTGTTTTGAAAAGTGCTACTTCATACGAGTTTGAATTATTTCAGTTCAAACACAACTGAGTTGAGAAGATTTGTTTTCTAGAAATCAGGTTAAATTCCCACAAGGTCAATATAGGCCAGCTCAAATTCTATTTAAGTCACAAATTTCATATAACTGCTAAATCATCTTCGCTTAAAAAAATACTTCCCTGACATTCACTGAAACAAATTCAAATACTGTATGTTTTATACTTGCTTAACTTGCAGGGACTTCACATAATCATGTGTCATATAGATCCCCCTTTCCCCAGGTTGCTTTAAAAGTACTGTAGCATCAACTTTTTCTAATCTTCTATAAACTGCATTCCTCCAACCAGTGAGTTCCGCAGTTTACTAAAATGCAGCTTGGTGAGATACTATTTTCTTTTATCAAAATAGAAGAACTGAACTTACCAAAAGACTTTTAAAAGTGTTTCATCATAGGCAAGTTTCATTTCAGGTTTTAAAATATTTGCCTTTTGCGACAACAGTTGGTTGCTGCTATGGGGAAGATCCGTATCTGTGTTTATTACAAGATGTTCCCTTTTGTTTTGTTCTTATTGCTAGATCTACTGAATTTCCTGCAGAGACACCAGTTGTGATAATGGCCACTGCCATCTCAGCATCTACAAGTCTGCAGACAAACAACACCTGTGACCTGTATGAACACAAAGATACAGCAAAGATCATACTGCCTGTATTTTACAGTGTTATTTTAATTCTTGGAGTGGTTGGAAATGGACTTGCCCTCACGGTCATTTTTAAAAACAGAAAAAAGATCAACTCTACCACTTTATATTCAACAAATCTTGTCTTGTCGGACCTTCTTTTTACTACTTCTTTGCCTACAAGGATTGCATACTATGCGCTAGGATTTGACTGGCCATTTGGAGAAACATTTTGTAGACTAACTGCTCTCATATTTTACATCAACACTTATGCAGGTGTTAATTTTATGACATGTTTAAGTATTGATAGGTTTTTTGCTGTAGTCCACCCATTCCGGTACCAAAAGCTCAGAAGAGTTAAGCATGCCAAGGGCATTTGTATATTTGTCTGGTTCCTTGTATTGAGTCAAACATTTCCATTACTCCTACAGTCCATGTCAAATAAGGAACAAGACAGGATTACATGCATGGAATATCCAAACTTTGAAAAAATCCCAAATCTACCACTGATACTTCTTGCTGCCTGTTTAATAGGGTACCTCATTCCCCTTGGAATCATACTATTTTGCTATTCTCAAATTAGCTACAAACTTGTTCAAACTGCAAAAGCAAATCCATTAAGTGAAAAATCAGGGATAAACAAAAAAGCCATCAATACAATCATTTTTGTAATTGTTGTGTTTATCATCTGTTTTACCCCTTATCATGTTGCAATTATACAACACATGATTAAGAAGCTTTACACTCAAGACAAAACACCATGCAGTGATCAACAAATTTTCCAGAAGTCTCTCCATTATACTGTGTTTCTTATGAATTTTAACTGCTGCTTGGATCCTTTCATTTATTTCTTTGCATGCAAAGGATATAAGAGGAGAATAATGAAAATACTGAGACGTCAAGTTAGTGTATCAGTTTCAAGTGCTGTGAGGTCACCTCATGAAGAAAGCTCACGTGATGTGGGAGAAACACAAATGATAGTACTGCCAAAATCTTCAAATGGAAAGTTATCGGAGAAATAAAGTTCTAATGCCTTGCAACAATGTAAGTTCAAAAACACTGGACCCACATAAAATATTATTTCCTTCTCATACAACAAATTAAGTGAGATTCTCTTTCCCACCATCTCTGAAATCCAGGATACTGTTTAAACACAAAATAACCACTGTCTGACAGCAACAAAATTCTAAATTAGTAGGTTCCTAATTTTATCAGTTTGACTACCTTTCATGTTTTTCTGGGAAGTTTCCATCAGAGCACCTATGCAGTTTCCATCCTGAACATATGCATTCTTGAATTTTAATTACCAGGCAACGACCCAATTCACTTGTTTTTCTAAGAAAATAAACTAAAAAAAAGCAAGTAGCTCACAATGACTAAAAGAGAACATCTGAAAATGAGCAGACATCTGACTGATCTCTAATATTAGCATTCTTGAGTAATAAAGTATGTTGTATCTTTTCCCCTTGAGCTTTCATGCAGACTGCATAAGCAAAGGAACTAAATGTGCAAGGATTTTATAAAATATGTACAGTTTCATGAAATATTTAAAATAGTTCATGGTACTATTTTAAAATCTTTTGGACCTGGAACTAGATTGTTCATATCTAAATTTAACACAGATAACTGTGCGAAAATGCAAGTGGGAAAAAAGCTAAGATACTGTCTATCTGAAAAATTGAGGTGTAAACATATTTAAGTAATAAGCATCATTTTCTTTGCCTAACCAGATATTTATATGACCCTATTATTATAGCATCTGAGCATCTACCAGATACTAATCAATTTATCCTTCCTTTGAGGAAGGAAGTATTCTCTTTCTTTTACAAATAGGAAATGTTTCTTTCTGGATTCTGTTGTGCAGAGACCTGTATTCTAAGGGTTC